AGTAGGAGCCACGAGAAAACTGGAAGTGCGATGTCACGTTGCAGTGTGAGCACGTCCAGCAGGAGCAGCACAGCCCGAGGCAGCCGCGTCTCTGTGCAATGAGTCTTCTCTTTGTTTTTTGTAAAAGGAAAGAAAGGAATAAGGAAAGAAAGAAAGAAAGAGTGAAAGAAAATCTTTTGAACGCCAGCTGCTGGTGTTCCTCGTCTGAGTTCTGACCTGATTCTGTTTTGCACCCATAACAGAGAGATGGAATGCAGAGGCCCACACCCAGGCGGCCACCAGCCACCCTCCCTCCCCCTGCGCTCAGTGCTTGCAGGATGGCATCTGGAGCACTGAGGTCCCCCCAGATGGGAAGATACTGGATGGAGCAAATCCAGCAGAAGGCCGCAGAGATGGTCAGGGAGCAGAGCAGGAGGTGAGGCTGAGAGCTGGGCTTGTTCAGCCTTAAAAAGGGAAGGCTTTGTGAGGACGTTGCTGCTGTCCACGGCTACCTCACCAGAGGATACAGAGAAGATAGAGGCAAACTCTTCTCTGAGTTGCATAGCAGTAGACAACAAGCACAGGTTAGAACACAGGAAATTCTAATTATATATAAGGAATTTTTAATATTTATTTTTTTTTAAAACCATGGTGGTGATGAAATACTGGAACAGGTTGCCCTGTGGAACTTGTGGCTTTGGAGTTGTTCAAGACTCAGCTGGATACAGCCCTGAGTAACCTGACCTAAATAGACATGCTTTGAGCAAGGGGTTGGACTAGATGACTTCTGGAGATGCTCTTCAACCTAAATTATTCTCTGGGTATATGCAAAATTCAAGCATTCCATTTCTAGTGATAAATATTTAATAGAGGACCAATTATATTGCATTAGGTAAAAAATTAATTAAGTCCCATGTTAATTCATTGCATTATATCTACATTTGAGCTGAATAATATGCAGTTACACCAGACTACACCCTTCTCTGAACAGCCTGCCTCACTTGAAGCATAGCTTGTGAGAGGAGTAACCTGATGGGCTGTTATTCTATACTCCATCTGACTGTATCAGTCAGAACTCAGCAATGAACAGCAGGGAAGAGTAATCTTAAAGCATTTCTGTGGGCCTCTGTAGTAACACCAAGCAGCCAAAGCCTGTGAACTTCAAAGCATTTACAAATACTTACTAATTAGTCATATCTAACAGGCAATTCCTATATATCATTAATGGTATTTCAAACAGCTCATCTTTACTTTCAGCTTTTTAGCTGAAACCTTTCACAAGCATACATGCAGTGTACCAGGTGCTTTATACAAGACATATAATCAGGATTTTATATAGTCATCACTAGCATAAGTAACTTTCAGTGGTGTTTTCTGCCTTCATGTTTAAATAATTAAAAATTCATTTCCCTATAACAACCAGCAGTTTTCCTTATCCTCTTTCCCCCTCCAGTTTCTGTCTCCTTTATTTTTAAGTCGGTTAACCAATTTTAAAAGGCTTCAATTTTAATTCTGAACATGAGTAGCTTCTATGCTTTTTTTTTTTTTAACAGCAAAAAGCATATAATGGTGCAAATTCCATTAATGTAATCAAACCCTATTTTAAATGGGTTGCAATCTTCATCCAGGCCTGTATCTATTTCATTAGTAAACCCAAAACGAAGTCTGATATAACTCAAAACATAACTCATAACCCAAAGTGCCCATTAAAACCATTGTGTTTTCAAAACACAAAAGAACTGCAGGAAGCAAAACTATGCAGTAAAATAACAAAGCAAGCTCTCAAAGCTAACGTGTGTTAAGATGTGGCATCAATATACTGGGGAACAGCTGATCCAGAAAATCAGGGTTTGTTATTACCATCTGTGGAATGATGGCGAAGTTTGGGCACAGTGTCTACGTAGTGCGATTACTGAAGTAGAAGGATACATCACATGAAGACTTTAACAAATGGCCGCTCCCTCCAGGGGTGGGGAATTGCTAAGGGAATCCCTGTCTGCATTCTGGAATTAAGTAGGCACCTAAATGGGCTTGAAATAAGCATATGCCATCAGCTGCATTTGAAGCTCATGCAGTCTTCAGTCATCCTTCTCCTGACAACAGCTTCCAGCAGTCCATCATTTTATTGCTTCCTGACCCAGGAGCTGCATCTGAACCTTTGTGAGTAACAGCCTGTCCTGGTTTTTGCTAGGATAATTGTCTTCTTAGTAGCTAGAAAGCGCTGTGTGTTGGTTTCAGTGTGGGATTTGTTATGAGAACATTGGTAAGGTACAAGGACACGGTGTTTGGGTAGTTTGCAAGCGCAAAGGAATGGGAGGGGGAAAGTGTAGTAGTTAGTAAAACCCAGAACCGACAGTTGGGTATGCCAGTGAGATATTCCATATCACACTGCATCGTGTTCAGTATATTAACCAGGGCTGACTGGAAAGGGGGGGATTCTCTTGGGAATCGCTCGGGCTCGCTTTTCCAGGATTGCGGTTTCGGGGTTCCTTTTCGCTCCTCCGGGATCACTATCAGCAGGTGATGAGCAACTGTATTCTGCATCACTCATTTTTTAATATATGTATATATATTTGTTACCATTATTATCATTACTATTTTATTTTACTCCAATTATTGAATTGTTCTTGTCTCAACCTACAAGTCTCCTTACCTCTACCCCTCCAATCTCTCCCCCATTCCCTTGGTGGGGCAGTGTGAGTGGCTGTGTGTTGTTTGGCTGCCAGCTAAGTTAAACTATCACACAGCCATGCAGTGCATGAAATCATCCATTCCTTCTTTTCAACCTGTTCCTCCTTTGATCCTCTCCAACATCTTGTTCCACAACACAGGAAATGCCACTTAGAGATACTAGTGCTTCAAATCCCCTTTAGTTTGCATCTCTAACCTTAGAAACCCCTTTTTAGGCCACTTGTCATAGATGCCAAGTAAACTTGTACTTACGCGCCGTTTTGTCCTTCAGGCAAGAACAGCTCCTCAGACATCAGCTCCACCTTCCCTGCCACCCGAGTCATTCATCACCTATGAAATGTGTGCTATTGCAGCAGACTATCTAAGAAACCAAGTGTTTTACAGCAAGAAGGTATTTTTCAGTCTGCAAAACCAGACATGGTTATTTCCACAGATTACTTCTCTTCAGTATATCTCCCACAGTTGATGAGAACATGGCACAAGTTACTACAGTTAGTCAGATGTTTATTCAGCATGGCTAACAGTTTGGCAACTTAACGCTTTCCACCAACACGGGGAGCAGAAACCTTGACTGGTTTCACAATCTTCTGCTTAGGTGCTGCCTTTGTAGGAGCCTGGAGAGAAATAATAAAATGTTAGCAAAGAGAAGCAATTTATCTGCAGTCCAGTCCTGAAAGCGTCCCCATATATTTAAGATTCTTAACAGAAATTATGCCATTTAATCAGATCCGATTAGAAGTAGAATTACAATCTATCAAGATTAGAATCATGTTAACAGATGGTTACACATACACCACTGTAAGCCTACAACATGTATGCTGCCAACATGTTATTCATTGATAAGTAATAATTAAGTAGATGCTAGCATTCATCAATATATTGTTACAAAGTTCCTAGATAGTGAAGATGTCACATCTAGATGAATTTTTAGCTATTAAGAATCTGACATAGGCTCAGAAAGCTGTTTTACTGTTACATTCATTTCTTATGTAAAAAGGTTCATTCTGTTCAGCTGTTTGGCTATGTTCAACTTTAGTACTGTCCTGATTTTGCTAGGATGGAGTTAATTTTCTTTTTAGTAGTTAGAAGAGCTGTGTTTTCATTTCAGCAGAACTTGTTATGAAAAGAACATTGATAAAAGTACTGATGTTATTAGTCGCTGCTGGAGCTCAGGGTCATGGTGTTTGGCTGGTTCACAGCTGCAAGGAACTGAGAGGGGGGAAGCATAGTAATTAGCAAAACCCCAAACTGGCATTTGGATGTGCCAATGAGATATTCCACATCATATCACATCATGGTCAGTATATTAACCAGGGTTGACCAGAAATCTGGGGGATTCTTTCAGGAATCACTTGGGCTCACTCTTGGGGACTGTCTCTGCTCTGGGATCACTGGCTGGCACAGGCTGGGCATTGGTCAGTGGGTGGTGAGCAATTGCACTGGCCATCACTCATTTATATAGTCTGTTATCACTGCTGTGATCATTATCATTTTATTTTAATTAGTAAATAGTTTTTATCTCAACCCGTGAAGTTTCCTTGCCCTTTTCTTTCCAATTCTCTCCCCTACTTCTTGGGTGAGGGCGCGGGGGAGGGGAGGGTGAGAGAGCACGCTATGTTTGGCTGCAAGGTGCAAGCAAAAAGGGTGAATCCACCCAAACCACCACCACAAGTACAAAAATTTATCAAGGTGCTTCCAGATCAAAAAATTTAAGCAAACGCTTCTTCCAAACACAAGTGGGAATTTCAAGTTAAGTGCTGCAAGAGGATGTCATGTTACAACATGGTGTATTTAGTTTCATTATTTCTTTCCACCTCTTGCATCTTACCTTTGCAGCAGAAACAGCCGTTTTCTTCGTTGCCTGCTTAGCCTTCTTGGCTTCTTTTGCAGCCCTGTTAATTCACAGAAAAAGAGCAACAGTTATGTGTGTCTGCCATTCACTGCTTCTTTAGTCTCAGCACTGTAAGAACTCCCTAAAATCAAGAAAATAACGCATTATTTCAGGTTTATTCTCTGCATTCAGTACCCCTGAGGGAGACCACTACAGAGACAGCAGAACTGTGTGACAGAAGTGGCATTTTCACAAAAGGAGGGGGCAAGAAGAGACCCTTCTCTGCTGCTACTATTTCTTGCTGAGATTACTCAATATTACCTCCAAATATACAGATTAAAAGGAAGAAAAAAAAAAAAAAGCAACCCACAAAATAGTTTATAAAACATGGAGCATATCTAGAGTTTAAGCTCTTGTATGCAAAGCATTAATGATCTTTGGAGAGCCTGGGCTAGCTCCATTAATCTCCGATTTCTCACCTAATAGCTTGTTCCCTCTGCGCCTTTCGTACTTCGGGCTTCTGATTTCGTTTAGCCATAATCTCGGCTAAAGATGCACCAGTGATGGCTCTCTGAAACTTCACAGCACGACGCGTGCGCTTCTTCTGTATCTCTTCCTAAAATGGCAGAAGGGGAAGACAGGCAATTAGGATCACAAGACATTAAATAAAAGGCTAAAGACAATGATGGAAACAAGCTGCTATTAAGATTGAAGCTATGACAAAACTGTATACAGAAGTAGAATTTTACTCCTCACTTTGGAGATAAGTGATTCCTGGGTTAGCCAGAGCAGATGGGTAGCTAAAAAAGAACAATGTATTCTCCTTTGCAAGGTATAAAAAAAACTATAATTATAAAAAATTATAAAAAAAATATTTTGAAAAAATGTCAGAAGTTCAGCCTTTTGTAACCCCCAGGGGAAAAAAAAGGGTGGTGGGGGATAAAGTCGACTTTGCCGGAACGTTTGGAAAGGAAGACACTTCCCAAGTGGGATCACAGTGCTGGACAGCAGCTAAGTCCTTGAGCATCAACTTTCCTTCTCCGAACAAACTGGTAAAAACATTAAAAAACACTGACTTATAACACATACGTAAGCCTGTCTAAATGCACATATGTACACTATGTGTATATATACATATGGAAGCTCTTATGCTGTGCAAGTTTAAGCAAGAGCACTGAAAATAACTCGTACTATGTGCCTTCCTAATTTATCTTTTTCACGCAGTGACACCTACATAGGAATGATGCGCTACTAAGTTGCAGACCAAAGTTTTTAAGAAAGGTTATGTGAAAAGTTCCACCACCTTTTAACCCGCAAATCATCTGTTTGGAAATACAATCCACCACATTTTCAGCTCTCTTTGCTATCACCATTCAGGAATTTTACAAGTCTAAACTTTTAATAAGTCTACATATTAAACAGCATTACCCAAATTCTGTAAAACTAATTTTTTCAAACATACACCATTAATACAAGCATTAAAATCAACAATAAAGTCATGCAAATGCACTCCCTCCCTGGAGGTGTTTAAAAGATGTCTAGATGGGATGCTCGGAGATAGGGTTTAGTAGTGGACAGGTACAGTTGGACTCGATGATCTCAGAGGTCTTTTCCAACCAGGAGATTCTATGATTTTAAATACATTTTCACCATTACCAGCCAGTCTTCATCCTGGTTCTATGGGTCACACTTGGGCTAAACACCAGTATACTGAAGTTACATCTGTTCTACCAGACCACAACTTTAAGTGGAAAAGGTGAGAGGACCATGAGCTGGTATATACTTACTGACTGTCCCTTCTTGTGTTTGCGCCTGTACAGAACAGTCCAGTTGATTTGACGGGGGTTTCTCTTGGACAGGAACGCGGACTCACATTTTGCGTTCAAGAACTGAAACACCTGGGAAAGTGAAGTATTTTGTGTGAGCCTTGTTTCTGTGAAACACACTATCACAATTTACATGAACATATCACGGAACTCTTTGATTCAGTTTTTCTACAGTGATGCCTCTGTATTTCTTTACGCAGTTCTGACAACTAAAAAGTTTTAGAAGATAATTTTTAAAAATTAAAGTTTAGAAGGTTGTTCCATGGATCAGACTGATCTAAGGCATTCTGAAGCAGCTTAATTTTTCTGAGAAAGCTCAAATTATGGATTCCATCCACTGCTGCACTGTATTCTAGGCACAGCATGAACAATGTATACAGCATCATACTTTCCAAGTGTCAGTCCTCAAGGATCTAATTGCTTCCTGTATGCGTAAGCCAAGTCAAAATTTAGCGTAAGGAACACGGGGAGATCAATACTCCACCCAATTCCTTCTTGCATAGTTACAGTAACCTTCTTCCCTAGAATAACAGGCGGACTTGGCAAGTTCATTTATTATTATCTATACAATTCAATTCAAAGTAGAAAGTAATTCCCAGGAGAGCACCTGAGGATTCGATCAGTCTATTTACTTCGCTGTCATTTCCCAGGAGATTCTGTGCAGCCAGACAACGCTACAGGGCTATCCAAAACTGCAAACCCTCCTTTTGCAGCTACGAATAGCAGGTTTTTATTTACGACAGCCCTATCTGTAGGGGATATGACAGCCTGAAAGGGCTCTCCTCCCTATTTTATCCCAAAGATCTGTACCTAACTTATTTGCAAGTCCAGTTTGCTTCAGCAAATCTCCGCATTGGACGCGGTATGTCTAAATAACAAGTTCTACAGAACTTTGGCACTTCAGACCAGGTGCTTTA